GGATAGGGGTAGGGTGTCACCTGGGCTCCAGCTAAGAAAAGCAGGGATAGGAAGGACAGGCTGGAAGCTCCTGACCCAGCCGGAGCAGCCCCCACCCCGAATCGAAGCCCCACCCCTACTCAGGTCGTGAACTGGCTTCTGAACTCCAGGCAAGGAAGCCTCCTTGAGACCTGGTGCTACGCCTAGGAAGGAAGAAGTTGGGTCTTCCTCCATTTTGGTCTCCTAATTTTCTGGAATTTCTTGCTGTCGGCTGGCATCCTCCCTGCAGAAACCACACATCAGGACTCCGGCTGTGAGTGGGGAAGAAAGGAACACCAGGGCTTCTGGGTGGGATGAACTCTGGTACCCTGCAGAGGAGGACGAGTGAGTCCTGCAGAAGGGTGTGCCAGGCGGACAAAGAGCAAGGCGAATGGAGGAAGGCAGAGGCCAGGACCGAGGGGGTCCCCGGAGCCCCACCCCTTCCCCAGGCTCCTGCCCTGAAGTCTCGCAGGCCCCGCGTGACAGTGCCAGCCCTGCAGCGCAGCCCCGGCTCTGAGGCGGCGTCAGCCTCTCCGGGAACCTGCTATAAATGCAGACTCCCAGGCCTACCCCATTCCTAGCACCTCAGAATTTGTGAATCCCATGAGACCCGGGGGCCTGAAACGCCATTCAAGTTGGAGATGCGCCAACCACAGCCTTCTGGGCCAAGTCACAAGTCTCCCCTAGAGCTTCGAAAGCTGGGGAGTGCTTGGAGACCCGGACAGCCTCCTCAACCCCAGCCACTGCCCATCCCTTCTCTCTACCCCCACTCATGCCTCTAACTGCACCGTGACCTGGACCTATGACTGTGCAAGGGGACCTGGGGACCCCGAGGCCAGGAGGAAACCCAACCCTGTAGCCTGCAGAGGGACGCCGCTGGGTGAGGTGGGCACCGAATCGCAGCATTGTGGCCCCTAGGGAGATGTGTACAGGGGTCTCCGGAGGATGTGAGCAGGGGACTTTGCAGCCCAGGTCATCACCCACTAAGTGCAGGGAAGGCCTGGCTTCTCTGTGACATGAACGGAGGGCAGCTGTGCTCTGTTTCCGTCGCTGGCTCCTAACTCAGTGACGGTGGGCTGCATGAACGTTGGGGGTGAATTGGCCACGAGACTTGGCCGGGGGCACTGTTCTCTCCTGGACAGCCGCCGGGGAAGTTGCATTTTTCACGATGGAGAAGGATGGGGCGGTGTCGGCGAGGACAATGCAGGGACCCTGGGGAATGCTCTGCCCTCAAGGCTGCCAGTGCTGCATGGGGGGGCCCAGGGGCTGCCTGGGGCCCTCACTCACCCAGACAAGGGGAGGCTGTGCTGGCCCCAGCTGGGTGAGCCAAGGGCCACGAGGTGGTCCTGGCGGCCCCCAGCCCGCTGCTCACCACGCAGGCCGGCCACGTGAGTCTCCCCGGCATCCACCACAACCCCTGCAGCATCTTGGCAGCGAGCCATCCAGGGAGCCCCCTCTGTCTCTATCTGCCTGTCTCATCTAATTGGTGACTGGACTCCCTGCCTCTGTCTTCTGACCCCCAGCTTGGGCCCTGTCAGGAGTGCGATGGCACCATCATGGCTTATTGCAGCCTCAACCTCCTGGGCTCAGGTGATCCTTCCGCCTCAGCCTCCTGAGTAGCTGGGATTTCGGGCATGTGTCACCATGCCTAGATAATTTTTTTATTTTTTTATTTTTTGGTAGAGGCGAGATCCCAGTTTGTTGCCCAGGTTGGTTTGAGTCCTGCTCAAGCAGTCCTCTTGCCTCGGCCTCCCAAAGTGCTGGGATTACAGGCTGAGTCATCGAACCCAGCCAAGATTACCATTTTTTAATCTGCATGCTCACATGGTTACCAGAAGACCTTCCTGAACTGTGCATAGAAGAGTCAGGAAGGATACAGAAACTCCGACCTGTCTTCCACCTGGTCGTGGACTCTCGCCCAGAGCCTAGGCGCAATCCCAGCAAGCTTGGCAAGCACCTTCCTACTCCACAGCTGACGCCCTTGAACTCTGTACCCCGACGGTGCGGCACAATGCCTGGCACACAAGGTGTGCTTGTGGGTGGAAGGGGAGGAGGGGACCATGGAGGCTGGCAAAGGACCCCACAGGGCGAGACTGGCAGCTGTGAGAAGCAGACATGGTGACACAGGAAGCAGAACGCCACAGGGCCGCCAGGGCAGGCACACAGCCCCCGGGGCTGGGCCCAGGGTGCCACCACACCCACCACCCTCCCGCTGGGTGGGCAGGGGGTCTGAGCCCGATGGGGGCACACGAGAGGCAGGGCCCATGGTGGCTCACATGGTGGATCCCAGCTGCTCACAAACGGCTACTCCACGGACGCTTTCCAGCATCTCTAGAGCTACAGGGCTCAGGCCTCAACCTCAGAGATGACGGATCTTCCGTGTGACAAACACCATGGATCGCGTCGGTGGCTTCAGACACCCCATGGGGTCCCCAAAGGGGGGTGGCTTTCCCTCCCCCGTCCCCTCCACATCACCTGGGGCCTGGCACGGAGACCCGCCCAGCGACCCGCTCAGTCCACGCTTGTCAATCGGAGCCCAGCAGGGATGTGTCTTTGTCTCCCACATGAGAGATGGCCCAGTCATTCAATCCATAAGCACAAGCTGGTTCGCGTGTATCCCATTAATTATTTATGGCATTCGTCATCGAAAAGGTCATAACCTGTCAGCTCCCCGAATGAGCGCTAACTCGCCTGTCGCACCTCTGAGGACGAGGCACCAAGGGTTAACTGAGCACTTGCTAGGTGCCAGGTGCTTCATGTAACCCCAGGGCAACCCCAGGGCAGGGGATGTTCTGCCCTCGACTCCGTCACAGGGATTGGAAGGGTGGCAGGGGTGCCGATTCGTGCCTGGCATCACGGAGCTGGCAGATAGCAGGGCTGGGACGTGAAGCCAGGCCGGGCCACCTGCCACACTCGTGGTTATAAACCCAGGGGTCCCTGTGCCGCAAGATCCTACACCCACCAGCAGGAGGGCTCTGGATGGGTCTTGCAGCCTGGGCGCAGTACAATGATGCCCCGGATAACGTGCCCTGCACCCGTGTGCCCACGGCCACAGCTCAGCCCCTGCAGAGTGTCTGAACCCCACACATGGCCCCTGGACTTGGCAGTGGGCACCCGGTCTGGCTCCTGCCCCTGGTGCTGGCCAGCCTCGCCCTGGGTTCCCGTCCCCAGATGCGCAGGCCCTTCCTCTCCCCTCCAGCTCTGGATGCTGCACTGCCCAGACCGCCTGGGGCTAGGCTACCCCTCACCCCCACCATACTGGAAATGGGTGGAAGCGGGAGTCGTGGAAGATGGGGCCAGATGTGGGCCGGGTAACTGGTCCCTGCTGGGGCAGCTGCCTGCAAGGTCAAACCCTGAGATCCCACCTCTTTTGCCGTCTTCCTGCCCGTCCCCTGAACAATCACTGAGCGGACTCCCCGAGGCATCGCAGATGCCCTCATGCGACTCAAGGTATGCCCTTGTGGGTTTATTTTCTAACTGTAGCTTGAAAAATCACCTTCCCTAGCCCCAAAAGACCGATTTGCTTCCTTTGCCCAGACTGGGAAAACTCGGAAAGTCACCCAATTTCCCCTTTTGCCCTGGCAGCCAGAAGCCTCAAAATCTCGTTTACAGTTCTCACCCCTGGCGCAATGAGCCTGTGAGCTTTGCTTCTAGGCTCCGTTTCCACCTCTCATTTTGACATTCCCGTCCCGGCACGTGGTGTAGGCCACCATGGCAGCTTCCAATCCTTCCCTACGAGCCACGGGATAAGCCAACAGCCAGGTAACCGCGAATGAGACCCAGCAGCCCTAACGCTCGGGTATCTTCCGAGCTCACCACCGACACCACCCAGCAGGGTCCGGACACCCATCGCGGCCACTCACCAGGCGGACGAACTCTGGAAGGTCATCAGCGGTGGGCTGTGGGTGTCTCCCCGCGGCGACGCACAGGTGGCCTGGGGGGCTGGCGGCAGGGGGCCCAGGGGCAGCTGCGGCCGAGGGGCCCGTGCGGGGTTCCCCCACCGCCGGGGGTCCCGTTCCATCCACCGCCCGCGGATGCCCCAGCGCGCCAGGTAGACCTTGCAAATGTCGTAGTTCATTGCCGAGTAATACAAAAGGTCCAGGAGCAGCAGCAGCAACACGAAGAAGCCATAGATCCACACTCCCAGCAGGGCGGTGTAGTTGCTGGGGAAACGGAGTGGGGAGGGCGTCAGTGGGGCTGGCCCGGGAACACAGCCGGTGTCGGTCGGCAGGAGGGCGGGGGGCTCGGCTCCCTCCCATCTGGCTGCCCTGTGGCTCCTCTCCTGAAATTCGCCATCCCTGGCCCCTACGAGCATCCCCTAGGACCCCGAGTCCTGGTCCCAAGGTCCCCGTGGGTCCCGCACAGGCAGGCACTCTGGGACGCCCAGGTTGTGGCAGCCCCCTCCATCCTTCACCCTGACCAGTGCTCTCTCTCTCACGGGTGTCCCCTCCCCTGAGCCTTTGCTCAAGCTGTCCCTGCCCTCCCCACCTCCCCCCTGC